AAAAGTAGAGCATATGATTTTTGTCTTAGAATAGGGAAATAACAGTGGCAATGAGGGATTAAAATTGTGTCTTGCACATATATTAGATGTAGAAACCTTTTCAATGGGCTAACTACAGTCAATGCTAAAGATGTGGATTGATGAAGACTGTTTTATTCACGCGATTAATTGTTGAGCCTCTATTCTAGAGAATATATTTGGTAATAGGGATACAAGGAACAGAACCAGACAAATATGTTTGCTTCATAGGACTTAAAATCTGGTGGGGGAAATAATCGGAAGTAAATAGCTACAAGCAGAGAAAAAGGCAATGAATGAGAGCCAGTTAGTACTGTCAAATTATGTATCAGGAAGACTTCAGGTAGCCAGGTTACTTGGGAAAGTGTGAGGGGTGTGACAATGGGAGTGTGTATTGTAAATTTTCAGATTCTCCAATTCTGGCAGGCCAGAGAAAGATTTGAGGCATGATAGGAAAGGATGGTTATGCTTTTATTCACAAGCTCTCCTGTTTATAGACTTATAGTTAGTAGTAACAGCAGCATCGAGACCATATTGTTGACTGTCCCATCCCAGAATAAACTCACAGACTGCACAGAAATATTGGCTTCATTTTGTTCGCAGGTTTGCATTCTCTTTCCCAGCAGCAGCTGCACAACGCATAACTCCATAATTCCTCACCTGTCCCGTCCAGCAATGGTGCCTCTTTATACTACAATAGACAAAAGTATTATCTGGCCAGGGATGGCCATACCAGACTGCGCATGTGCTCATGTAGGGTTACCTAAGTGTGCATGACTGAAGATGATATGAATGTGTTGAACTAGCTGAATTCCAGTCCTTGGGTAGGCTGCCTTTTGCAAGGGCCTAAAGACTTCTGGTGGTTATATTTGTCCTTCAGAGTATGTATACCTGGTGGTGGTGTGGTTGAGACCTGGTGACCTGGGAGAGTGAGTTGGACAGGACAAAATGGAGAAAGTAAGAAGAGACTGGAAACTGTGGCGTACAACCTCGTATGCCATGGAGGAGAAGCTACTCATCATCCCAATAAATATTGGAGGCTTTTAAAAGAGACACCTAGTTTGCTAAGGTTTATTCTCTGAAGTTCTGTACACCTCTGTGATTTAATTTGAAATAAGAAAATGGTGGAGCTGCAAAAGTGATCTCCAAAAAAAAAAAGATGAAATTGCTGGTGTTTGATTAAAATAATTAGAGAAACTCCAAGAATCAGCATGCTCCCCCTCAGGTGCAACTGAACATTTCAGATTATCATAGTCATTATAGCCCTGGTGTTACAACTCTTACAGTCTTACCCTTTCCATTCTTAGCTTGCCTTTGGCCACTGTCCCACAGGCTCTTCTCTGGACACTTGGGTTTTATGAGCTTATGCAGGATGAAAACATGTTTCAGTGCATGCCTGGGTACATGAATTAAACTGATAGGAAGATTATGAATACTGAGTGAAGAAACTCATTCACATGGCAGTAAGGTTATTAGATAAATTCTCTGAATTAACTGAGCTCTGTATGGGTATTTCTGCCTAACTCAACTCTTTGAAATGGAGGGATTAGAAATATGAAATCATTACAAGACTTGCTCTTAACTGAGGGAAGACTTGCTCCCAGCTAGGTAATTAGCAATGTCTGGAGACACGCTGGGTATTCACAACTGGGATTTTGGGGTACTACTGGTACCAAGTGGGCAGAGTCCAAGGTTATTATTAAAGACTATGTCAGTACAGGATATAGAGTAAAACTCCCTACAGAAAGAATGATCACAATGCCAATACTTTTGGAGTTAGGAAACCCTCATGTTCATATCTTTTAATATACTACAAATGATCTTTTGCTTTTAAAAGAAAACAACTAACCCATAGACATGGAGATATTTCTGAAATGCAATAAATGAGGGAAATGATCTTGGAGGAGCTAAGAACTCTCTACATCCCAAGGTGTATATTTTCATTTTACAGAAGAAATTCTATATCCACTAATATAATGTGATATTATAAATTACATATGCCCCCACAATCTCTTTCTTATTTTTCAATGGGGGGCTCAAAGATCCTCCATAGGTAACTTGGAAAGAGTCAAGTGTTAAGACTGTGTTCTTCCACAATTACCTATATTATAGCACTATGTATTCTGGGATATTTTGAAGTTTTGGAGCAGTCTTGGATCAGGAGGAAAGTGAGAAATAAGATGAAGTAAAGAAGCTGGGTGCTGGTGGCTCAGGCCTGTAATCCTAGCTACTCAGGAGGCTGGGATCTGAGGATCACGGTTCAAAGCCAGCCCAGGCAGGAAAAGCTGTAAAACTCTTATCTCCAATAAACCACTCAGAAAACCAGAAGCGGTGCTGTGGCTCAAGTGGTAGACTGCTAGCCTTGAGCTGAAGAGCTGAAGGATAGTGCCCAGGCCCAGAGTTCAAGACCCATGACTTTGGGAAAAAAAGAAAAGAAAAAGAAGTCAAAACTAGTTGAAGCAAACACGTGAACATTATTACTAATTAAGTCTGAGTCAGAGGATGTGGCTTAGTATTAGAATAAAGTATATGTCCCAACTGGGTCATTTAATGGGACAGAATTACCCATCTTATCAGGCCTCACTAGCTGGGGAGAAGAGCATCCAGAAAAGCAGCAGACAATGAGCAGACAATGCAGTCCTTCCATGGGATTCCCTCCCATAGTGAAGAGATAAGAAGCCACGATGAGCAGATATAGCTAATTACTTTCTCATACATCAATTATTTAGTCATGCCATCTCCTCTGGTGCAAGTGAAGAAAGGGAAAGAGAGACATCTGAGTGTTGCATTTATGCAAGAAAAAACATCAACAAAGGGAAATAGGATTTTTACCCTTGGCCCAACTACTAAACTGTAACTCATTGCTGATCATGTCTAACTACTGATTGTATTGTCTGAATTCTGGAACTCTAAACCACCTGTGACTATGTAACTTACATTAATTAAAATTAAATATATTAAGAAATATCTTAAGTGCTCAGTAGCCCCAAGTAGCAAGCAACTACTACATGGGACAATGGAGATATAAAATATTTACACCATCAAAGGAAGAACATCAATTAATGTGCTATAAGGAGATTTTATATAATTCATTTTTGTATGATCTGTGCCTATAGGAAAGCTCTTACTTAGAGAACTTCAGAGTTTTTGGATGTGTGAAATGAATATATGAAAGTTGACTGTGACCATTTCATTTATCGAATCTACTTGTTGTAACAATGCTTCCATTTTAATTCATCAATATGTAAACATTGAACATGGATATGCTTGTTAGATGGAACAGACCAGTGGAATAATATAGAATCTATGATTCTACTTTTATTGAGAAATGAGTATTTGTATAGAAATACATAATTTGTAGGTATTTATAAATGTGTACTTAAAATGTAAATAGTATTGAATGGCACATATCAGATTGTGTATACCATCTTGGCATTGAGATTAGAAGGTTGAAGACTTTGTTAGTTCAAAAGCTATGTATATATGACCATTTAAGATGATGTTAAGCGAAATGAACCCAAGATAGGGACACAAGTGGTTTTTTTCTTTCTTGCTGTTGTTTTTAAAATATTTACAATGTACTATGTGATTTTTTTGTTTCTTTGGTATGTTCTTCACCCATGGTATAGCCACTGTCTAAACTGTATTTGATGTTGGTGCCCTGCATCTTGTATGTACATTTTTATAATTCGGGGAGGAGAAGATAAATAACAAAATGCTGAAATAAGGATACAGGTTGACCCATTGTAACAATGAAATGTACAAGACACTGTGTTGAAAACAAACTTTACAACTTGGGTGGAGGAGAGGAGTTGGGGATGTGGGGAGGGAAGAGATGGTAGGGGAAAAACAAAGGAGGGGGTAACAATGCTCAATAGGAAATGGACTCATTACCTTACTCATGTAACTGTAACCCCTCTGTACAGTATTTTTACAATAAAAATATATAAAGAAAACTTGTTGCTAGGAAAATGAACTACTTTTGAGTGAAAAAAAAACAAGTGATACATTACATAATATGTTAGCATTCTAGAAACAAAAATAATAGCATTTTCTATATCAAGGATGAATAAACTGTCATTTTTAAGAGCCATAATCTAAAGTGTTAAGGCAGCAGCCATCAACCTAATGGATATTACATGTATACCATGAAACCTGTTTGCTCAGCATTGTTTTCTTTCCCAAGATATGATGACCCTGCTGAGCTATAGAGAGGGGAAGGTCCAGATGGCACTGGCTCATTTTTCTGTTGTACTTTCTGACTCAGCAATACACCTCTACTTATGGAAATTGCATTTGGAGTAATCTTCACCCTGGGATTGGTCTTAGTGATAATATCCAGGTCAGAATACTGTCTCAGTGTCATAATCCTCTTGCAGCTTTCCCTTGCTCTTCATTTTGTGGCTTTTGCTGGACAGATGCTGGACCAGAATTCAACTCGTAAAATTAAGACATTCTCAACGACTTGTCAGGTCATTAAGGCATAATGTGGTGCCTTTAAAAGTATCAGGGGCCATCTAACCCACACAGAAGGCCAACCTAGAGTTGAGGGTCTTTAGATGTTCCAATAATTTCTCAAAAAAAATCTACCATGATGAGGCTACTCAACCAGAAGAGAATGACAAAGAAAGTAATACAGAAATATCAGTTTAATTAGCTGCACTGCTATTTTGTTTCATGCTTGGTAGATAGGAGAAAGCAATTTTTCATCGAACAATTGAAATGGATGAATTTAAAGACATGAAGATAATCACTCTGGAAAATGGCATTCACAAAACTTACCAAATGAACAGTAGAGATGTGATATCTGTGTAATTACTATATTTATTGACTATTATTCATTCTTACATCATGATGGATTCTAAGCTTGAGTTAAATTCCATCATGATGCATGCCTCCCAGGGGGTTGATATTTGAAGTTCAGCTGTTTGGTTGATCACTCTTTTGCTAAAATATTTTCTATTTCTGTTCCTGTTTTTCAGACCCATTATGAAAATGGAGAGTATATCATCAGGCAAGGTGCAAGGGGGGACACCTTCTTCATCATCAGCAAAGGAACAGTAAGTTAGCACAGAAATACACATGCTCAATCTTTTGCTATATGACTTCTTCCATCCTCATATTTATGAATTTATCATATTCATATTTATGAATTTATCTTCCAAAATTGACATAGAAGTAAGGAAGAGTGAAACGTTGAAAACTAGGAAGCAGACTGATACTAATAATCATGGTACTAGATGATGCTCTAAGTGTGCATGCACAAAAATTCTCCATCATTACAGCTATTTGTTAAAAAATACTGGGGGTGCTTTAAAAATCAATTCTGTCTTTAATGGTAGTAATGTCACTCTAATGAGGCACCTGGGGTTAAAAATCATGTTCGCCAAATTTGAATTTGCTGTGAAACATTCGAGTCTCCTTTAGACAAACTTCTTAATATTCCAATATTAATATGTTCAGGTTGTATTAGGGCATTATAAAGAATATCAAGAGAATAATAAGAAGCTACTGAAAATGGCTGAGTATAAGAAGAGGGATTAAAATAGAGGAAACTGGTTTTTAATGAAAAGTGTTGTTTTCTCTTTTATATTATTTTAGTTTAAAAATGTGAGTCTGCTATATAAGAAAGTAAATTGGAAAAAATCATGTCTAGATCAATGCTCAAATGCAATAGTATTATAAATACTCCAAATTCTTTTACTTTTTCATTTGTTATTGTACTATTACTTTTATGTTTATCTTGTTATTTGTAGAAAGTATTTCTATCCTATGTATTATGTGTTGAAAAAGAGAAATGCAGGTAGAGGTAATTATATATTTCTCTTTTTTCTTTCTTTCTTTCTTTCTTTTTTTTTTTTTTGCTGGTTGTGGAGCTTGAACTCTGGGCCTGGGCACTGTCTCTCAGCTCTTCAACTCAAGGCTAGCACTCTACCACTTGAGCCAGTTCTGGCTTTTTCTGCTTTTATGGTGTTGAGGAATCGAACTCAGGTTCTCATGCATGCAAGGCAAGCACTCTACCACTGAGCCACCTTCCTAGTCCCTATTTCATTTTCTTAAGAAGAGTTGATGCATCTAGAAATTAAGTAAATTTATTTTGCAATCTAATTAAATAAGTGATTGTGGCAATTTATAGTTTATATAGAATGATGTACAGTGCCACAGTAAACAGGACAAGTAAAAGATCACAAGTATTATTGGACTTAATCTTAGATTATTTTGTGAACTAATTTCAAATTGAGAATATGCATGTCAATGCTTACATCAATGACATGTCATACTATAATGATGAAAAATGGTAGTTTTATCCTGCTTATTGAAATGACATGTTTGAACACAATTTGGGATAAAATTACATTCTGTATTTTGCAATGCTAGAAGCTAGGAAACTGTTTATATGTTGTGCTGTAGATCTAAGTTTTTATTGATTAACATTGACTAAAGAATCAGTGGAACTGAAAATCTTCATAGAGATACACTGATTGGTCAGAAGAAAAATTTAGATTTTGCTTTACAGCATTGCTGATTCTTTGCTATTTTGTAGTCGTGTGATTGCCCACTGAGAGGACTCTACAAAGGCTTTTGTGACCACTTTATTATTGCAAATTTCCAGCATAGTCTAATGGAATTAATAGTTACAAGAAACAGGTGCACCAGAGGTGCTTTTTGAGTTTTACAACATATATGTATAGAAAGAGCATGGAAATGACACAGGAACTAGCCAATTAATAATACTTTAGAGCAATATATTGGAGTTCTAGGAAAGAAATAATAGATATGTATTAGACTGTCTCTGAAAACACAGGATGTGTGTGTGTGTGTGTGTGTGTGTGTGTGTGTGTGTGTGTGTGTGTGGAGAGAGAGAGAGAGAGATAGCCTAGCATAGATTTTCCCCTAGTTTCTCAGATCTCACATATTCCTTGCTATGATTCCTAATTATATTAGTTCATATATTATTATGTGAATTCTAATACGAATGCATCAAATGACTACATAAACAGATGAGCATATTTCAACTCCAGTTGTATGGGATAGGAACGTTAAGCTTAAGTTAAAGATTAATTAGGTAAACTAAAGGTTAAGTTTTAAGCTAAGGTCAGCAGACAGCCAGTTGTGGAATTGGAATTTTCTAAAATTGCAGGTGTTAGATATACTAGTATAAACCTGTTTTATATATTTATTTATTAAATTTATAAGGTGAATGAAAATAGTCTGATGAAATGCTGCTGTAGGAGTCACAAAATACAGCATGCAAAGTTACATGTGGATTTCCTTTTTTCCAGATCCATTTACTTAAGTGTAAAATAATTAGTATTTTCCCATTAAGCACTTTCACACAGAGAAACATTATGATGTAAACATTGAAATACTTGTTTTCCCCCACTAAGCCTGCACAAAGTGAACTCTTACAACTTTAAGAAAGGATGCTGTGACAGTGATATGTATAGTATCTGTTGCTGTTGCTTTAAGTGGAAGCTGAGTTAGTTCTCTTGTGCCACTGAGCCTCACTCTCTGGCTCAGCTTTTTCAACATGTGGATTTGAGCCAGATCTCCACTTCCAGTTTTATTTGTTGATAAGGGTCTCTCAGTTTGTCTAGCCAGGCTGGTTTTAAACTATGACCCTCAGCTCTCAGACTGCTGAGTAGGTAGGATTACAGACATGAACCACTCATGCCCGTTTAGTTCTGTCTTATTTTGTGAGACCATTCCAGTTACCTGGAAACATGGCTTCCTCCTTCCACAATGAGGAGAAACACCAAAGAATTTTACAAGTATCCCTAAAGTGATATTGCATCAAAAAAACATTTGTCTTCCTAAATAAATTGAATCAAAAATTGAACAAGGTTATTAAAGAAAATCTCAGTAATCTGATAATCATTCTAATACAACTGACTTTTTCTTTGGTTCTATATGTCAGTATACTTTGCATGTTCACATTAGAAGGAACTGTGGTTAAATGTTTTTTTTGTCTGTTGCACACTATTTAAAATCACATGCCTTGCTCATTAGAATCAATAAGTTTTAAAATATGGTCATTAATTATATTGGCCTAACACAATGGAAGTGGTTTTGAATATGGCAAGTCTTCTGTTTTGGAAGTTTAGTTAGTATATGCCTACACATGCTAGGTAAAGATAACAATGAAATATGAGAAATATCTATTTTTAGGTAAAAATGATGTGTGCATATTATCACCATTGTGGTCATAGACATGCCAATTATTGTGATTCAACAAAAGGATATATTATAAAGAAATGAAAAGTAAATAAGATATTTTAGTAACTTTTGTTTTTAATATAAACAGATACGTTATTAAAATTTTTAAAAGTTTAGATAGATCACCATTGTCCAGTAATTTTTCCTTGCTAATAAAGTTGTTCTGTTATATATAGAAACTAATATAATGGTGATTAATCTCATTTGCTATATAAATTAAAATTACGCTGGGCGCCGGTGGCTCACACATATAATCCTAACTACACAGGATCAGATCTCAGCCTGAGCAGGAAAGTTCCTAAGACTCTCATCTCCAATAAACCACTAGAAAATCAGAAGTGGCGCTGCGATTCAAGTGGTAGAGTGCTAGTCTTGAACTAAAGAGCACAGGAACAGTGCCCAGACCTAGAGTTCAAGCCTCACAACTGACAAAAAAAATAGCTAATTTTAATTAAGACAAATATTAGATTTCTTATTGAAAGTAGTCAAATGAATGAAATTTTTACTATAATTTGATTACCATAAAATGTTTCTTTTGTATGTTCTTCCTCCTATGGTATATCCCTGTTGTCACTGTATTTGATTTTGGTACCTTACATCTTGTATATACACTTATCTAATTTGGGTAGGGGAAGGGGAATAACAAAATGCTGAAAAAAAGACACAGGGTGACCATTGCAACAATGAGACTCACAAGACACTATTTTGGAAATGAACTTTACAACTTCAGAGGGGGAGTGGGGCAGATGAGGGAGGGAAGGGAAAAAAACAAAGGAAGGGGTAACAGGGCTCCAAAGAAATGTACTCATTACTTTAGTCATGGAACTCTAAGCCCTCTGTACAGCATTTTTACAATAAAATATTTTTTTAGAAAAGAACAACAATGGAAAAATTTAAAGTTAAAAAAATTGAATCATTCAACATAATTTATATTAGCAGTCTTAAAAGAGAAAAATCACATTATCATGTCAATACAATGAAAGCATTTGATAAATGCAACATCCATGTATAATTGGCATTCTCAGATAGAATCTACAGTATACCTACAGTTAGGACATGCAGTGATGAACAAACTGCAAACAATAAATAAAAGCAATGGTGTTAGAGGCATGGCTCAGGTGGTAGGGTGTCTGCCAATGAGTAATAAGCATCAGATACCTAGTTCAAGTCCTAGTTTTGGACAAAAGAGAAACAAAAAAGAATAAACCTTTAGCCAGTCACTGGTGTCTCAGGCCTGTAATCGTAGCTACTCAGAAAGCTGAGATCTGAGAATCATAGCTTGAAACCAGCCAGGACGGGAAAATCCAGAAGACACTTACCACCAACTAAACACCAGAAAAAATGGAAGTGAGCTGTGCACTAGCCTTGAGTGAAAAAGTTCTGGGATAGCAACCAAGCCCTGAATTCAAGCCCCACAACGTATTTTTTAAATAAGCCAACAATGAAGGAAAGTCTTACCAATAAATAGTGTTAGAACAAATGTTAAGCTGTAGATAACTACCTAAACTTCCTATCTTCCATGAAAATGAAATAAAAACTAATAATATATTTAACAGTAAGACATAAAACTATAAAATGTTAAAAAAATCTTTATAATCTGAGGTTAAGTTAAATTCTCCTCCACATATCCTAAAACATATTCAAAAAAGCAAAAAATGGACATTAGACTTCACAAAATTCATAAAATTTTATCTGGGAAGATGGAGTGAATGAAATATAAACTAATAAGCAATATTTTATGGTATTTATTATAGAGCAATAAAAATATAATTCACATACAAGCTGCATCAATGTTTGTAGCATTTCTACTCATAATGCTAAAGGCTATAAATTTACCCTCATAAAGATAGTAAGAAGATAATCCATACTCTAAGGAATCAACAATAACAAAAATAAAGATAATCCAATAGAAAAACAAGGCAATAGGATGATCAGACACATCATCATAAGGAAACATAGTAGCTCAAAAATTAATATGGGAAAATGTTGCTCTACCATTAATATTCAAGGAATATCTTCTACTACCCATGTTCCTGGGGAAAAAAGATCAGAATTACATATAGATAACTATCTAACTAGATAGATAGAAGAAAGATAGATGAACATACATAGGTATCTATATCAAATGCAATAAGCATACAGGATAACACGAGCTTTCATTCATCAATGGTACAAATATACATTTGTGCCAAGAGACATCAGCATCCAGAAAACTGAAGATACTTATACTTAACAACCTCATCCTTTATTTACAAGTATTGACCCTTCTGATACCCAAACTTATAAGGAAACATGTACAAGGATATTCATAGGAATAATAATAATAAAAAAAAGCAACATAAGACTCCCAGCAAAATAAGACTCTCCCTTGAAGTTTCTACATCTATAAAAACCTCATCTACATGCAAATTAGTCTCTTCATAGAGACTATACCTTAGTGGTAACTAAGAATGTTACGAACTAAATTTCCATGGTTTGAGGTACTGTGTATGGGAGTAATCAAATGGATCAGTGGAGAATAATAATTGAATTCCTTGCACCTTGCATCTTCTCAATAATTTTAAGAATTCTGGTTGTTGACTTCCAATTTCTCAGGTTCAGAAACCTGAAACATAGTGTTTTAAATGTGTTTAAGTGTCTGGCATTGTCTCAAGAAATTAGTTTTTCTACTTCATTACATTTTCCAGATAGGTGAATTTTAATTATTTAAATAATTAAATGGATGATACACCAACAGCATTATGCATATTAGTAGAGCTTGAGGCAAAAGTGAATTAGCACAAAAGTACAACTTACTCTATTTGCTTTAATTCATGCAACAAGAATGCACCACCTCCTTCCTGTGGACAAGAACTCCTGTTACCACGTTTCAAACCCACCTGTACTAAGATATCTTGTAGTTATGAAGGTGTTTTTATTATAAACCATAGCGAATACTGAGGAAATACCGGAAATCCTGTTGAATCCTGCTGAACATAAGGATAAGATATATAGTTGGAGAGTCTGCTGAAAAGTCGAAATGTTCTAGAATATGAAATAGGCCTTTGAGTAAATAATTCATCTGAGAAAAGAGAACAATATCCTAGAGAAACTAGGTTGTGCATGTGGAGATATAGAAAAATATTTATGGCATGAGAAAAAAATGGACATAATATATATGTCAATTTATAAGGAAATGGATAAGTAAATACATTTATATAGTATAATACAGTGAGATTAGTATAAAATTAATGTACTAGATTTGTATCTAATCCAAATATATTAAAACAAAATGAGAAGAAAAACAAATTGAAAAGTAATAGGTACTACTTGTATTACTCATGTAGTTTTAAAACACATCTATATTAACACATAAAAGAGAAGAATGCTAGATTATAACTAAATTCATGGTAGAGATTGCCCCATAGCACGTAGTGAAAATAGGGGTGGAGTGAGGAATATGTAGCATTTAGATTTCATAACCATCCACTGTTTGTTTTTTCCTTTCTTTTCTTTTTTCTGTTTTTCTTTTCTTTTACAAAAAATACAACTTGGAAAAATAAAAAATACTTAGAGCAAGTTATTGTGATTTTATTGGAATGATTCTTTGATACTTCTAGTGGCAATTTACTAAACATGCTATAAAAAGTAATAAATGGAATTAGTTTTATTGCTTGGTGTTTTCTTGCTCATTCTGGCATATGGTGGTTTTAGGCTTTCATTGTTTCTTTTTGTAGGTTAATGTCACCCGAGAAGACTCCCCAAGCGAAGACCCCATCTTTCTTCGAACTTTAGGGAAAGGAGACTGGTTTGGAGAGAAAGCTTTGCAAGGGTAAGCAGTAGAACAGTAGAGCACAGGTCACAGAGTTGTTGTTTGTTTTTTGTTTGTTTGGGGTTGTTTTGTGTGATAAAGATGGGGAGGAGAGTGAAATAACATCTCTCAATTATTGGTAAATATAGATGAGACTTTACACATCTTAGTGCATATGCATATACTATGCCACTTTGAATATGAAATAGCTAATAGATATTCATTTTTCATCTGATTCGTATCGAAGAATATGTGCAACAGTAATATAATTTACTTCTAAAATGCTAGGACAACCAATTTGGATTCTATTTCAAATTGTGCCTTCATTGAAAAATTACTTTATAAGCATTTTGCTTAAAATTACTGAGAAGAGATAGTTTAGGGAGGTTTTATTTTTAAAACCATTATCAAATGGCAAGTTTTATTTATTTTATTCTTTTCATTTCATTTCTTCAGAAATGGAACCAAGATATCTGACTAAGTCATCTCACTCAGGCCACATTACCTTATGAAAATTCAAAACCAAATACAATCTACTTTTTATTTTACTGAGTTTATTTGATCCTTATCTGATGAACATATATTTGCCTTTGCACCTTTCTTAAGTGAAAATTGGAAGGAACACCATGTTTGGGGTTGGTCCATGAAAGAATGAAATATAAATTATCTTTCTAGTATAAACTATATTTTTATAGAATTATTTCTTCTGATTTTATTGGTCAAAGGATATGTGCCTCTGTAGAAAAGAAAATGATTTCAAATGTAGAACCAAAATAAAAAACAGCACATACTCATACATACACACACACACACACACACACACACACACACACACACACACACACACACACACAAAGCAAAACTTATAATTGAGATTATATGTAGAATGCTATGTCTTTCTTTTTTGGGTGTGAATACTGAGACATGAATTCATAGCTTTACATTTCTGCTTTGGCTGGCACAATATGAGTTGAGCTATACATCCAGCCTGGCTTTCTTTGTTGGTTATTGGAGACTTTGGACCATGATCCTCATATATCAGCCTCCAGAGTAGCTAAGGATTATAGGCCTAAGGCACTTAGAAAATAAGTCTTAATTGAAAATCAAAAGATTTTTCTTTTAAAGAGTTTGCTACTGAATTTTGGTGACAAGTAAAAAGATTTTCATGGCAAAAAAAGTCAAACCAACCAACCAACCAGTCCCAAACCCTAACTTCCTAAAAAATAGTTTGTCTTTGATATCAACTTGAAAAGGATGCCATTCTGTTCAGCTGTGTGATTATTCTTGTTAATTGCCAGGTGCCAAGAATTTCTATTGCATATTTTGCACAGGTTTTTTTAAATGGCCATCTTCTGTGGATTACCAAATAACCAACCCAACTCCCTCTCTTCATTTATCACTGCTATTTTCCTCCTCAGGGTTTCTCAGCTCACCCATCTCTTTCTTTTGCACTTGACTCCCATGTGTTCACTACTAAGTCCAGCATCACCCATCTATTTTAGTACCCTCTTAAATGTTTCCAAAGATCAGTTACTTACAGAATGATTTTTTTTATTTTTTCCAACTGACTTTATTTCCGAACCACAGATTTTTATACTGCTCACCCCCTTTCTTCTTTGAAGTACATATCTTTGGGGACTCTTTAAATTAATAACACCTTTTTGGTTTTGTGCTGGTACTGAGCCTTGAACTCAGGGCCCAAATGCTCTCATTTAGCTTTGTACTCAAGCCTATCCTTAAATTTGAACTACATCCTCATATCACAGCCTCCTGAGTAGGTGGGATTACAGTATGAGTAACCAGTGCTTGGCTAAACTAATAACACGGTTTACATTTTATTTCATTTCTAAAAATTCTCCAGTGCTTTGTTTACATTCCTTGCTGTGACATTCAACTTAATGAGGCCAGAAGGGAGTATGAGCTCTTTGAAAAAATATTCCACTATCATCTAATTTATCCCAGAATTTTGCAGTTTTCAGTTATTCAATTCAGCTTCTCCATCATTGGTTGATGGACACTTAGTTTGGTCCCCTGATCAAATAATGAACATTACTCCAATAAACATGGAAAATACTTACTTATCCACCTTAGCAATCCCTGGAAGATTTCAGATATTTCAGGTAAATATTCAGAAATGGATTGTTGGCTCATATGGTAATTCTATTGTTAGTGTTATAAGGAAACTCCATACTGATTTTCATAATGAATGTACTAATTTGCAATGGGCAAGGATTCCATTTTCTCCACATACTTGCCAACACTCACTTTTGTCTTTTTCATAATTGCAATTGTAACAATGTAAGGTGGCATTTATCTCCCTAATGATAACTGATTTCATGTTCTGAGAAATGTCTATTTATGTCCATCACTTTAACATATTCTCTGGTTTTGTTTTGTTTCTATTTTAATTTTTGCCCTATGTTTAAAGATTTACTCCATATTTAGTTGATGTTAGTATATGTTCTGAGGTAGGGTTGAATTTATTATTGTTGTTGTTGTTGTTTTACGTGTGAACTTACACTTTTCCCTAAATTGCTTATTTAAGTGAGCCTTTTTTTCCTTGTGTTTTCTTGAATCCTTTGTCAAGATGAAAATAAACAAATGTGTATGGTTTCCTTTATGGGGCTCTATTCTGTTCAGTTGGTATCTGTTTAATTGATGTATATATTTTGAATGCTGCATCATGAAGGTTTAATGTTATCACTTTGTAGTATAGCCAGAAATATTAAAGTGTGATACCTTCTATTTTATTCTTGATTGACTTGGATATATGTATGTTTTTTGGTTACGTATGTATTTTAGCATTTGTTTTTCTACTTTAGAAAAGGTGATATTGCAGTTTTGATAGGAGTTAAGTTGAATGTGTAGTTTATTTGAAAGAGTAGGCATTTAAAATATTCTTCCAATCTATGAAAACATACACGACATATTTTGATTCATTTGTCTTGTTTATTTCATCAATGTCTTCTAGTTTTCAGTGTACAAAATCTTTTGCATCATTGGTGAAATTTATTCCTCTTTATATTTTTATGTATAATAATCTGTATTTTATGTTCAGAAATTTCATTGTTAGCTGTAGAGAAATGTTAGTGGTTTTCCAAGGTTACCGAATTTGCTTATCAGTTTTAAGAATCTGGCAGAATTTTATTTTTTATTTTTTTTATTTATTTTTTTATTTTTGGTCGGTCCTGGGGCTTGAACTCTGGGCCTGGGTGCTGTCCCTCAGCTCTTCAGCTCAAGGCGAGCGCTCTACCACTTGAGCTACAGCGCCACTTCCGGTTTT